GGGTGTTCACATCTCTTACGGTCCCTGAAGGGCTCTGTTCTAATCAACCCTTGTGGTTCAGATTTTCTACAATTTTGATTGATTCTTACTGGATCACTTTATAAAGTTTTGCTCCTTCATTTTCTACTGCTGTCATGCAGCAAATTGCTAGTAGAAAACAGCAGAGCACTGCCACTCAGTATCAACACTCTCTTGAATTGATTATTGAATTAAATTAGCCTTTTGAAAAATGTTATAGGTTCAGTTTGCATCACACAGAAGTCAGAAGTTAATGTAACTTTCATTAGTGTGTTTCCTAAAGAGCTGCACAGAAAAGAGTAAGGACTATAAAGGTGGGAGCTTCCCAGTAAATATGGCTATTCTTAAACATCATCTAGTGCGGAAGATGCTCCAAGCCTCCATGAGTAAATACAGATGCAGAACTGAGCTGATGCAGTAGAACCAGCTATGAGGTTCAACTGTTTCTTGTGTGAGCTGTTTCCATACAGGGTATAAGCCGTAGGAAACAACCTGTTGGCTGCCTTAAGAAAGTGGATGATCTTGACTGCTTCTTGTTTGAGGATTTTGCGTCTAATTTGAAGAGAAGGGACAATTTTCTGGAATTCATAATTTGTGTTTTTTGTCTTTTTCTTTCTTTCTTCCTTTGTTAAAGTTTTTCAAGTAGGTTCTTTTGGGTGGAGGGATAGAAAAGCACACTGCTCAATATTGATATTTGAAGTTTTACCTGGCTTAGCTGGAACAAGATATATAAATCACAAGGATTCCTTTCTGTTCCCACATTGTTTTAGTGCTACTGCTATTAAAAAAACCAAACAACCCAACAATCTTTATAATCAGCCCTAAAGAAATCTCTGTTATTTAAAAAAAATGAGAAAAGGTTATATTTTTAGGGGAAAAATGAACTTAATTTTTTCACTTCTTTTCCATCCTGACATTTTTTCACCACGCAGATTAGAAATTAGAAAAGAAAAATTAATTTTGGAAGAAATATTTACTGAGTACATATATAATTCATAGTTCTGGTTTTCTTGTTACTTTAGTGCAAAGAATGACCTTGGTTATCTTTAAAATACCTAGCAGCCCTTCTCCTCTCTGAGACAATGAATCTATAATTTCAATTGATGATACCCTAGGGTAGCACTTACCACGGACTTACTATGAAGACATGTACAAATAAAACTTGACCACTCAAATGTTTGAAGGCAAGTGAAGACAAGACATAAAAATACAGGTAGAGGGAGTGGATTTTTCCATAAGTTATACAGGACACACTGTTATTTTAATATGAATCCAAATCCTGGAGGCAGTTTTTTGTATGGGACTCTTGGTCTGTGTTTTTAATCATCAGTTTACACTTCTAGCCTTCTTTGGTGCAGAAGAAAGCCAGAAAGTCTGGAGGGAGTGCGCACTAATGGCTCAGAAATCAGAAAACAAACAAAAGAGTGTAAGGTTTTCTTAAAGCCATTCCCTAGATTTCCCTGACTCATGTTTTTTTATCATTTGGGAGTGACTGCAATGTCAGCTCATCAAACTGTTTTGCTCCTAACAGTGTGTAAGTCAGAATTTCAGAAGACTGTAATGAAATGAACTACATCCAAAAAATTCAGACAGTTGTGCAACTGCAAACCAGTGACCTGTTTGAATCTGTCTTATCTTAAATATATCATGTAATGTTGGCTCTCTGAGGTATTCTCCATCCTTTAATAGTTTTATTGACAGTCATTACTCTGCCTGTTTATAAGCATAAGAAAAAAATAGGAATTACTGAATCACTGGCATATGATCTTTACATGGGAAAAAAACAAGTTGTTGCCCAGTGCATTCTTTTTTTTCCCATAAAGAAAAAAACATTGGGAAATGTGAACATGTGGGTGTTGCCCACAAAAATGCAGTCTCTGCTGTGTTCTTTCTGAACACTTGAGAGGTAGTAAAAAGCTTAAATTTTGCTCTTTATCACGTTATACATTTTAGTAATAAAATCTAAGTACACAACTATATATACATGTCTTTAACTAATACATTTTATTGTTACAGTTAGCTCTGCAGCTGTTAAGTGCTTTAAGCAAGAGCTTTTCATGTTATTGCTGGCATCTGTGGTTTTCTCCATCAAATTCTACTTCTCTAAGCCACTTTATTAACATCAAAGGCAGGTGAATTACTTAAGGATTAGAATGGAACACTTCTTAGTAACAATTGTTAATTGCTTCAGATTACTGATTTAGCACTACTTAATGTAGCTGCTGTAATATAACTTGACAGTGAATGCTGGGCAGTAACATACTATTGACCTGCAAACCTACAATGGTCAAAATCATATTCTCCATGTAGTTGAAAAGCCTCACATGACTTCTTGTTCTTTCCATGAAATGAGAAGAAGAGGAAGGAAAATAGACAATTTTTAGTGACAAGGAATCACACGTCAGTGATTCACTAAATCCTGTTTTATCTTATTCTCATAAATAAATAGAGATGATTCTCCATGAAATGGTATCTTCGTAAGTTTCCTTTTCAAGTGATAATTCAAGTTTATATTAAGTCCAATAGCTTCCCCTTTGTCAAAATTTCCAAGTAACAGTTCTTTCCAGTGTGAAAAATGTCAATATTTGTAATTGAAACAGAACTCTATTTTTTAAGTGACAGTATCACAAGCTGGGCATCTCCTGTGCTTCTCAGTCTTGATCTGCACTAGCCTGTAGTTTTATGTTTGTTCTTTGAAAGCACTAAAAAAAAAAGTGACATTTTGGCAACATATTTTAGAACTTCAGATCTTTTCAGGAAATCTTTTCCCTTGAATATTTTGACTGCCACATTTACAAGTAATGGCCATGACACAATTAAACCAGCCTCACGAAAGATGCTGACATCTAGATCAGGCTGGTGGCACTGCTATTTGTGCAGGGTCATAATTTGCACACCACTGTAATTCAAGACAGATGTGTTGTCGTTTTAGATTGCTATGCCCTAAAATTCATCCCATGACTTTAACCAGTACAAAAACTCCACGTCACCTAAATCCCACTGTACTTCAATGAGTTATGCATGGCACACAGATAGCTTCTGCTGTGGGCTCTCTGGAGTGTTTATGGAAGATACTATTAGAGTTGCCTCCTGAATAAGAGGAGTGAAAGGTGGAGTTTTTGAAGCACTTGTTGCAACCCTGTGGGAAATCTGAGCTCATAACTATAAAATGTGCTAGCTGGCTTTGTAGCATGAACTGTCAGGTAAGGCTGTGCTAAAACCACCAACTATAATTTGCATAGGTTTTGGAAACTGGAGCTGGCGTGCTCACTTTGGGACATCCCCTCCACTGTTTGTGCTTTGAGTTTCAGTATTGTGTGAACCTGAAAACTCAGAATGAAACTGGCCATAGCCATGCACATGTTATCACTCTGTTGTGAGCAATTACTGCTGGTACAAACTAAAGTGTCTCTGATCCCAGCCATGGGTTCTTCAGGAGCCATTTCCATTTTCCACAAAGAGGAGGCTTTGGCCAGGGACAGAGCTGTAAGTCAGCTGGCATCCACCTGCACCATATATTCACATGCACAGCCCATGTTTTTTGCAGCATTCCTGCCTGTATATGTCTGACTTCTTTTAAGATGGGAGATGTATGAGGGAAGATAATAGAGAAATTGGGTGACAAAAAAGTTTGCTAGAGTCTTTTTCCCAAGCCATTACAAGTATCAATGGTTTCGTGTTCAGGGATAAAACCAAGGTAGATCTACCAGCTCTGTGGTCTGAAGAATTTTTACAACTCAGCTAAATAGAGAGATATTTTTCATTTTGTAGAAGATTCAGTTTTGGTTCATGTCAAAGAGCCTGAATGCTTTAAACTAAACTTAAGGTAATCTACAACTTTAGCAAGTTTAGAAAGCTATGAGATGTCTTTATATTTAAACTAGTTTTGAATCAGGAGTTTCTGCTAAAGATATAAATATGTGTATAAGATAGACATAGACGTTGAAGAAGGTAGTTCTCTCCATAAAAATCCAGTGAATATTAAGTGAATAAGAGAAAAACTTGTCTAAATAAAATTAAACTTACTACATTTTGTTTAAAAATTCCCCAATTTTCTAGCAAAACAGCAGAACAACTATTCTGATTTTCAGTTTTGTGAGAAATCAATGAGAACTGCTGACAAATGAAAGCTAATGAATTTAAAAAAATCAAATATTTGTCTTCTACTGCTGCTTCAGATTTTCCTCACTCAAGTCCCTCAACAATTGTCATCACTGCCTTCTTTTCTGTCTTGCCTATTAAAAAAAGGCAGAGAATGAAAAGCAAATTTCGTCAGTAGAGGATAACAACTTTTCTCCTACTCTTAAATCAGGATATTCTATAATTGCAAAGCAAGCCAACTTATAACTAAATAGCCAGAGTAAATATTTCTGTTTGAGACAACTCCAACCCACAATTTTAAGAAACAGATACCAAATTTCTAGTAAATAGGTGTGCATAGTTACTCTGAGTTTTTGGTTTTGTAGAGAGCAGATGTGGAGTCTAGATGTTTGGCTGAGTGTTCCTAATATTTGTAGATGTGAATATTCAGGAGCTTCCTTTTGAATCAAGACAGAATTGTTCGTCAGGTTGAATCATTTAAACCAGCTAAGGAAGCCTGACCCATTAACCCCACCTGCAAGATACAACAAATATTGCCTTCTCAAAATTCTGCCTTCTCAAACACTTTTCAGAAGTTGCCACATTTATTGCTATGTGCTCAATGGAAATGAGTCCAAACTCTTTCAATCCCAACACCTTATCTAAAGAAAATGACATTACCTGCCTGCATTTCACTCAGTTGTTAGTGATTAAGTAATCATGTCTCTGGTTCTTCAGCTGATTGCATAACTTTGGGGTCCTGTAAACAACTCTTGCTCTATTTGTTCTTTTGAGATTGCCTTCAACTAGATCTTTCACAGGGCAATCACATCTCAGGTCTGATGTCACACAGAATGAGTACACTGCACATCACAAGAGGCTTATAGACTCCACCCTGGAAACAGAGTGAGATGAACCTTTTGGACACACATGTGTACACACTTGTGCACACACTAGCAGTGGTATAAGGAAACACACAGAGTACTCACAGAGTCCTTGGGAGCTTTCATTTTTTTTAAAAAATTGCCAGGAGATCAAGAGGAGAAACAGCCAACCAGGCAAGAACCAAATGAAAAGGGTTTGACACGTAGCAAATAAGGTTTGAGATGGAGTCAGGCTCACAAGACAGTCCAAGAATCAAGGGAGTCATGGGGACATCTTGCATTGATGTTAATAGGTAAATCTAGTTCGGAATGATCAGTTGAGTTTACCCTAGAACCATAAAATCATTAAGTTAGAAAAGACCTTTGAGATCATCAAGTCCAATCATGGCCACTATTGGTGGATACTAATGTGATAATACAATGCAAATCCCAGCCTATAATGCTGGGAGGCTTGTAGGAAGACAAGCTAAAGGAAGACAAGCTTGTAGTTTGGAGGGGAAAACTTCACATGTTTGTGATTGTATGACTACAACTATTTCAGATGTTATGGGAGTACCACCTTCTCAGCCCATGTTAATGAGAGGACTAAAACCCAGTGGATCTGCCGGTGATATAACCCTGTCCATCTCCTGACCTTTCTGTCTGATTGCACAGGCTAGCTGGTTTTGGACATGCAGAGAGAATCTTTACCATGTGATTGCTACTCAGACAGTGTCTCTGTAATTTAGATTATGAAAGGCTTGTGGTGACTTTCAGGTTTTGTCATCAATAGCATGTTTTTGGCGTGGGTGGTGTAGACGTGCCAAGCCCAGTACATTATGATGAGAGCATGAACTATTTCAGGTACTTTGCTTTAACAACTTTGCCATGCTTAATTAAGTCACAGATTCATCCAGTAGGAAGGACAATCTGGAGTGTATCTGTACTGCATGAAGTACACATGGAAGTCTCACCTTATGGGCAAAAAGAGGAGGTAAGGTATCTCTGGAGTACTCCTGGCACTCCTGCCACAAGGGGCACACTCCTCTCAGAGCCTCATGGCAGAGCTAGATGCATATAATGTCTTGCTTTTTCTGGTTGTGTGCTGGCAGCTGGTGTCACGGTGCACACACAGCAAATGCACAAGCGCCCTCCGCCTCCTTCTCTGAGGTATGAGTTTGTTGGGATATTCAAATCCTGTAGATTCTTTATCTCCAGGAAATGGCCTAAACAGTGACTGGTATTGGCCCTCTGCAGATTTACAAAGGACTTTTCACCCTCCTGCCCTTCTTCTCCTCACCCTGCCTCTACTAGGCTTTACAATAGCTGTCTAGGCTGTTCCACCTGGTGGTGCTGAGACAATCTTGCTTTGCATATATAAGGAAACCTTGGCTTGTTTTCCTACTCTCTTATCTTCTTCTCCTAATTTCCAGTGCATACTTTAATTTATAGTGATAGAATGTGCTTTATTGGTTGGGCATTGAGGACCAGTCAGATCAGAGAGGAGAACTGTACATCTTTATTTAAGCCAAGGGTAGAAAATCAATGCCATAGTAAACCTGAGCCTGCAAATCACTCTGTTTCTGCTTGAGAGGTAACATATCACAGGACAGGAATGCTAAGCCCACTCCTGTCTTTGAATGGACATCAGTTGTGGTGTAGCAAAGCAGAAAAGAGTGGGTGACTTGGTTTCCTGCAAGTACAAACTTAATGATGCTACACCGTGCAGCCCAGAGAAATGGGAGGTGGTGAAACGCTCCATGCTTGACCCTAATTGGCAGTGTTCAGGATGTTGGTCAATACTCTTCAAACAAAAACAAGCTCCAGTTTGTTCTATAAAATGAGGAATGCAGCACAGAAAACTGGGTCTGTGCCACAGAAAGGCCAGTGATCGCGGTGACTAAGAATTTTATACTGTGTTGAGTAATACTGTTCTGCAAGATGATGCAGGAGAAGGAACAATTTAGCACAGTGTATACTCAGATTTATAGAAAATCAGCTTCATGGAAACTGCCAGCAGAGCGGTACTGATGGGTTTGCATTATGTGAGTACCGCAGAAAAGCAAAACAATGCTGGGAAACAGATTGGTTTTGTTCTCAGCTACTATGCATAGATGAAACTTTTATTAAGACATGCCATCTAGCTCTGACAGCAGCTTGAAAATTACCTCCTAATATTCTGATGACCTAGGACCTGATCCTTTACCCACTGCAAGTTGTAAGTCAGTACATGGTTGATTGGTACAACTAAGCTTTTGGGGCTTAGAAGGTTCAGATTGCCCACGTGCAAACTGAAGACAGAGTTGTTAGGCTCTTTCTTTCCAGTGCAGCTGCATGCATGGAGTGGGGAAATGTGTAATCACTACCAGTTTCTTGGCAGTTACTCTTGTAAATTAAAAAGATAATTGCCATGTTGAGCCATGTGGTCCTTGTAGCTCACGTATATAGCTCTCATCCAATTCATGTGGATTTGCCTGGAAGAAGTGAGGACAGTGTAGGTTCACCCTTACACTTCCTCAGAAGTAAAGGGACATGAAATCATGCTTTTACCTTCGGAAGTTGAAAATCTCCGTTCTTCCCCTGCTGACAGCTGTGCTGTGTTTCTAGGTGCAGCTGTGCCATCTGCCTAGCTTTACACCTACGGGCTTTTTCTGAAACACAGAGGACTGGTGAAGAATCTGTTCTGCAAAAGTCCAGTTAAGAAGACTTTTCATACCAAGATCATATAGACTTGAAAAAGATTGTCTGGTTTTTTGTTTGTTGGTTGGTTTTTTTTAGGTCATTCTAGCCATTTCAATAATGGAATGTGCTTTTAGAAATAAAGTAGGGAATGGTAATATCTTTTGTTACACAAACTGGGGAAAACCAGACAAACTTCAAGGCAGACCAGCTCTTCCTTAGATACTAACAAGCACGTTCATAAAATCTGTTTTATCATATGGCTGGCTGCATTGATGTTTTCTCTGTTTCATTTTATCCACTAGCACTTTCTGTGCATCTGAACGCCTACAGTGATGTCAGTTTTATGATCTTTTTCAACACACATGAACCAACACATTCTGTGCTGTTCTCAATTCTACATTTTAAAGGAAATTACTCCAGAACTCATCTCAGGAAAAGAAAAATGCAAGGCACACAAAACAACTATTGATTTCTAGTTCATCCATTAAGAAAAAACATAGCACAGTATTGTAAATTTTGCCCTTTTATCACATGTACACGTATATTTACAATACATACTGTGGCTTCTAAGTTATTTGCAAAATCTACTGCAAATGATATCTTTAAAATTCAGAAAGATAGTGTGCTTGGAAAATAATTCCAGATAACTTACGCGTATTTTGTAAAACATTTAAACGCAGTATATGTACAAATATGAAAGCATATGCTATAGGAAAATACTTATTCTACCTACCTCATTGTAAAATTAATTATGGTTCATTATTTTCAGATGGTGGCATACAGTCTTACAGATTTCCAACAGCACTGTTTTTATTCACTTCAACCATGATAATATCATGTGGCTCCAGTTAATATGAGAGCCTGTAATTAAAAATTACAATGGTAAATGCTATAACTACACAGTAAGAGACTTGTCTTGGAAATCCTAAACAGCTGGCCGGAGTGGATTTAATACAATTTACGCTAATAATTGTTGAAGAGCTTGCATGCATAGGCTGGAACTGCGGTCAAACCTCACTTTCAGGTCTGGAACTTAACTGTCTGTATCTGCTGTGTGACAGCAAACAATCTGTATTTCTTTCTGCACTTTACGTCTTATCACACTCTAAGACCATGCATGTAGCAGATGTTATTTTCAGTGCTTAAACTCATTTTTGGGCTTACATGGTATGCAGATTGAAAATGCCCATGGTTGCATTTTATAGTACCATTTTGACAGATAACATAAGGCTTATTTTAAGTTCTGCCAGTGCAATCTGACAGGAGGGTCCTAACGAATTTTTGTGTGAATCTGTGACTGAAAAATTGCCATCTCAAAGTTGAATTTTTTACTGACCTCTGGCTCATATCAGTTTCGAATACACACTTGTAGAAACATGTCTTCAACATACTTTTGAAAATGTGTGAAAATAATCGATGAATACTAATTTTTTTCACTTTGGCTACTATTCACAGTACTCTGCATAATCTTAAATTTTTAGACGTGTGGAATAACAGAAGGCTTTTAAATTAAGAAAAAAAATATCTTCTTTGGACTGGCTGAGGAGAGCAAACAATCTTATTTAGTTTACTCCACTGTGTGCTTATTTTTGATGGCTCATTTTCTGTAACCTACAGATCTCCCTGATCTGATACTTCTTATATTCACGTGAATACCACTGCCAGTAAAACTGAGAGACCAGAAATGAGAAGACCAGTAGGGAGAAGGGAAAGTGTGAAGGGCTGATAGACATTATTTATGTGAATTAAGCTGTTTGTGCACTGTTATTGACATCCAGATATATATCATCAACCATGCTAGTCAGACTGACTAGATTCTGACATGGGTTAACCCTTTATCATCTGAAGTTTCTGGAGGCACCTTGGCCTTCAGCATGTTAGAAGGATCATGGATGAATGGAGCTTTATTTTGAGTCAGAGTAATTTTTCAGAGTTAGCGTATTGCAGTTTATGGTCTTGAAAGGAAGCAGATTAAAAAGCAAGCAGACCTTGACCCACTGTAATTGCACTACTTCTACTGCTTCTTCAGTTCACATGTTTAGAAGGGACCAACTCACAGCATGAAAGAGTAGCTCAGTCCCGGTTCCCATCAAACCCTTGACCTCTCTGTGAGACTGGAAACATGGATACCAGTTATGGAAGTAATTTAGTGCACAAACAAGTATTTACCAGGAATTAAACTGAGACCACCAAATACATTTCACAGTGGAGACCAAACAGTCATCAGACTGAGGCAATTTTAGGTCACTACCAACTTGGGCCTGATTCAAGAAAGCAACCTCAGATAAAAGTCTCTACATCCCATCATCCAAGTCCCTGAGGCATTCAGTCCCTAAGTTCCTTTTCTGCTATAAACATAATTCCCGCATGAGATAAGAAGTTTCACTGTACATTCAGTAATCCAGGAAAAGATTAGAAACAGAAAATAAAAAAAAAGGCTTTTGAAACATTTTGCAGAGACAGAGAAAGTGCAGTGTTCATGTGAAGAAGTGGGAAGAAGCTCCAGCACTCCTCCCTAACCCAAGAGCAGTTTACTGTATGGAGGAAACAGGGATCTATCCTCCAAGAGCTCATTGCTGACATAAGGCACCTTCTTACTCCACAATGCTCCCTGTAATACCAGTCTTATCTTAATTTAATAATGATCTTTATGTATTTGTTCATTTTAAACACTCCACTTCTGCTTTGTTTCTGTCTTCATTTTTTGTTCCTTCTGTGAATCCAAAACTAAGGACAAACTGTCTCCTCACAGAGACTAGAACCTCCGTAATAATGGGTGAGTACTTTCAAAAGAACACTTTCTGACACATGCTGTCAGAGAGTAGCACAACAATGAAGACTACATGCCTGTCTGCAAGCAACACATACGATGCTGCTAGTAGAAACATAGTGAGAATATTTGCTGTATATTTGCATAATGTGTTTCAGCTTTCACAGGAAACTGTTTTCTTTTTTTCACTTTTTTGCATTCACAAATGAAAACTCCTCTTCTCCTCTCCACCCTGAATATTTGCTTTGTAGACAAGAAGGCAGTGACCAGGCAACATTACAAAACCTCCTACAAGAATGGGACACAGAGCAAATGTGTTTCTGACTAAGAATACGATGGCGCACTCCTATACACTGCTCAGTACTAGAGTGTAGCCCATTCTATGGATGTAATCAAAAGTGTCAGAAGTCAGAAACATTAAAAAGATTACTTACTTGATTTTGTTCCTCTAGATAGCACACACCAGTATTTCATTTTAGCTGTCTTCTCGTTGCTGTTGGAGAAAGTAACACCAGTGCAACTGTGCAATGGACAGAAAAGCCACTGTTAATCAAATCTACCTACCTACCTACTTTACCACTGAGTCCCAAATTGTCAGGAACTTCATGGCATGGCTCATTCCTTTACATACAATTATTACCGGTAAGAAGCTGGGTCATCTGGATGAGACTTTAAAGCAAAAGAAGTTTCCTAGTTAGTTTAACTAGTCTAAAGCAGTGAGTATGATAAAGAGATTTAATTATTATGTGTGATAATAGTCAAACCCAGCTCTTCAGTAGTGGTTTTCATTCAGTAAAAGTTAGCGTTTATAAAGGAAATGTGTACATTTGGTGATTTAGAGAGATGAGACAGGAGTCTGAATCTGAACCCAAATATGATCCTTATAAAATAGAAAGAGCTAAAGCTTTGGATTTTTAGTATTCTTTAATGTGGGATTCAAAATCTAGAGTACATTGAGTTGTGCTCCTTATTTGAGGTAAATTGGAAGCCTGTCTAGTGTGTAAATCCAAAACTGGAGTTGGAATCCAAAGTTCAAAATCAGATCCATTTTTGCTGTTGCACTGAGATAATATGGATAATTTGATTAGGTCATATTCTGTGTTATTTAATCCAGAAGAAGGTACTCAGTGACTAATGGCTGTAAGTGACTTGTTAGTTCATAGTATGAGGTCTGTATTCAGCTCCTCTTCTGGCATCAGGCATAGTATTTCACCAACTAGAGAAATGTCCAACATGTGTAAGACTAATGAGGAAACAAGTCATACATGAAGCTAGCTGTTGACCACAGAGGGGAGAAGTAATTGGCTCTCCCTCAGTAGAATGAGGTCAGACTAGGGGGGAAAAAAAAGAGGAGACTAAGTGGACTTACAGACAACAACATTATAATCTCAGTATTATATTTTGTGATGTTGCAACAGATGATGATCATGTTGATATGACACGTTCTTTCTGAAAGCAAGCAAGCTCTGGAGTGCTCATGTTCTGCCAGACCTATTCTATTCACAGTAGTTACCTCTTAACTTTTTTTCAGAATGAAGTCATAAAATAGACCATCTTGCATAAAACAATTTAGAAACTCTCTTCCTTCCTAGAAAATGCCTCTTGCTGTTCTTGTAACTTGAATAAGTCACTGAAAGCATTTTTTTAAACAGCACTTCCTTCCATTTGCTTGCTCATTTGTGGTTGAAGTATATTTATTCACTTCGTAGCTCTCATCCTGCCAAGGAGCAGACATGCAACACAGGCCTCTAAAACAAATGACTGAACTACAAAAGGCAATTTCAGTTATCCCCCTGTAAATCTGGAGAGGAGCCCAGATCCACAAGTTGTTTCATCTCTGGGCTCCTTGTTAGATGACGTCAACGGACAACAAGGCACCTGAACTGGAGTGAGTCCCCTAAATCTCTTGGATCTTACCTCCACTAATAAACACAGACTCACACTAAAATAAATAAGAATAATAAGAATTTCAAAACCTTGATAAAGTGGGCTACAAGATATTTCATCATTGTCAGTATTTTCAGCGTAGAATAGAGGGACAAGCAGCCAGGAAGGCTGAGCAGGATCTCCACATATAGTCACAAGGCCAGGGATTTCGCTTTTTGGGGACCAAGAATGATTTTCTGTGGCAAGCGAGTATTCTTCACACAAAAGAGCTTCAAACTTTCAGTTGGTAAAAAAATTTTAATGGAAAATTTCTTACTTGCTAGAACCTACCTTTGATGATACAGAGTTGCAAAAGTTATAGGAGCTCCATTTACAGAGATTAGCATCCCAGTTGTTGGAGTAGCAAAAGGTTTCACAAGCATCTTTGGGGAATGAACTGCCTGTGGCAGTGGTAGTGTTTTCCATCACTTGCCTTACCTTTCCCTAGGGACTTTTAATGGAGGTGCTGAAGGTCATGAACCCAAGTATTTCCCTCCTCCTATAGCTGTTAGATGTACACTGCAATGAGTCA